AATGTCACTGCTCTCTTCTACGACGAGGACAGGAATGAGATCTACACCGGCAACGAGCAAGGTTTGGTTCATGTCTGGTCGAAGCCTCATATTAGCAGAGATAATCTCCCGGCCTGTCTATAATTTGGATTGCCTTTCATAGCATCCATCAACCATGCTTCCTCTGTTGTTGTGTCTAGCTGGAATAATCTCATGTTTCTGGCAGTTAGGCTTTTAAATGACTCTTTATCTTGCTTTTAGTTAGATAAAAGAACTACTGGCTCTGTACTTGTTACCATATGATTGAATGCTGTTTATAGTTGTGCTAATTTAGATCTGAAGACTGATACCCAGATTGTTAGAGACATCATAGTCATAGAAAAGATCACCATTACATATTGGAGTTCATAACATTTGAAAAGAATATACCTGAGGCAGGATAAGGATAATATATAGACAGAGATGACTACAGACTTAGTTGTCCTAGTAACTAGCAAAGAGACACTTCTGAAGACTTGTGTTCGTCCTAGCCTTGCTTTAGCCATTGTTCTCAGTGTTATTGCTGTTGCTGCTATTGTTGCGGTAGCGGTGGTTGCTGCTGCTACCGCCAGCATCATCCAGCCTCTTCTTCTTCCTACTGTTACTTCCATGGTGGTGGTGATTGTTGTTGAGCTGCGAGAGCTCCATCTGCGTCTTCATCAAGAACTCCATCCTCTGCAACTCGAGCTCCCTCGTGAACTCCATCCGCTGCTTCTCTATCTCCAGCACCTGCCGCAGCTTCGAGTTCTCTACCCGCTCGTACACCTGTCCGAAACGCAGTATTGCCTGCGTTAGTTCCCGCAGCCCCGCCATCCTCCCTCCCCCCACCTCCTCCTCCTCCTCTGGCTCTCGCCGTTGCCTCTTGCCGTTGGCTGCCCTTGGTGGCGGCGGCGGGAACCCGTCTGAGGAGTCCCCGGACGAGTCCGCCGACTTGGAAGACACCGAGGGAGGCGATGACCTCGCCTTCTTGCGGGCGGGTTGGCTGGTTCGCGGCCGCTGCGGGATCAGCTGAGGGAGGCGGGCCGGAGGACGGATGGGGATGCCGGCGGGGATATCGCTGCCGGGGGGCGGCGGCGCGGGCTTGTGGTTGGGGCCGAGGAGGAGATCGAGGCGGTGGAAGAAGGGCCAGGAGGAGGTCGCGCCGCCGCCGGTGGCGGAGACCTTGGACTTCTCGATTTTGTACTTCTTCTTGAGGGTGTCGATGCGGTTCTTGCACTGGACGTCGGTCTTGGGGGCCTTGGTATAGCCATCGCGGCTGGTGATGGCGTCGGCCACCTCCTGCCAGTGTTTCTGCTTGAGATTGCCGCGGCTGAGCTCCAGGAAACGCTCCCCCCACGCGTCGATCAGGATGGAGGTGGCGCCCTCGCTCCAGCAGTCCTCCCGCCCACCGCCCCCGCCTCCTCCGGCCGCGGGGGATGGGCGCGGCTGCTGGATGGGGAGGGCGAGGGGAAGGGCATGGTGGGGCGGGGCCGCGACGGTGACGGCCTCGGCTACTTGGCCGTTGTGGTGGTGATGGGGCGAGGGGCCAGGGGAGGGGGACACAACGGAGACTGGGGGTGGCGACGATGGCGGCGACAACGATCGGGAGACGGATTGGGACTGCGAGCGGGACGGTGACTGGGTATCGTCGTCGTCTTCCATCGCGGGATGAGGAGATCTACGCTCCGCCGGCGGACGCGTCGGAGGCCGGCGACGGCACGTGAGAGAGAGAGAGAGAGAGGGAGAGAGAGGAAAAGGAAGGAATTGAAACGGGAGCCGGCGGCGGCCGAGAAGAGGCAAGAGGGGAATGAAAAGGAAACGTTTTCTTTGGGAGAGGGTTTCGACCGCCGACCGGCGTCGCCTTTTTGACGGACGTTGTGTACGCCCGATTCAATGAACGTGCATAACGTTTTCGTGTATCGGTCCCCAAATCGGGCGGATATATAACGGTTCTGCTCCGAGGGTGAGCGTCGCCGTGGGGTGAGTTGACGGCGTCGGCGTAGATCCGGAACGGGGCCTCGCACGTGGCAGCGAGGCCGGTACGGCCACGAGGTGCGTCACGATCCGGTCGCGAGCGGTAACCCGAAATGGTGTTTGTGTTTGGTGCCCTGTGTTTTCTTTTCCCTAATCTCTGAGGATAGTATGCAAACTCTTCGTTAGTGCATATTCTCATCATCGACAATTCGAACGTAATGAAATTGATCTTTTTTATCTTAAATTTTATTGCATGCATGATTTGAATATAAATCTCACTCTAGAATTTCCAATTGGATGCTTTATCAAGATGTCCAACCAGGATACCCTACTTAACCTTGTAGGTGACTTAGATTGATGTGTGTTCTTTTGAGTTAGATGAATGTCCAATCTCCACTAGCATAGCTTTTGCATGGCTTACGGGGGAAGGCGTTGGGTAAGACTCCTTCAATATTTAATTTAGTATTTATCTCTATCAAATATAATATATTAAAAATATTTTAGAGTATTTGAACTCGATGGAAGACCCTTATTTATATATATGAATCAATCCATAATCATTGAAGATTAAACATATTATTATTGTAGATTTTGATTGTCTAACACATCCAGAGTTCTGAACCAACTCGTAGAGCTTATCGTAGGCTTTGGAGTTGAGAGTGAGATGGTTTGATGTTTTAAGTTGGTTTGATGTTTTAAGTTGGCTGACGATGGATGTTTTAATTAGTTAAGTAATTAAAAGGAAAAAAAAGAATTGTGTCCTTTGGGACCATGTCCGATAATGGCTCATCTTCGTCAAGTAATTAAGAGAGAAAAAAAAGAGAGTTAGGTACTTCATGAGAATCTTGAAAACATATTATCTTTTTTGTACTAAAAAAGATATTATGATTTAAGAGGGAAAAAAAGAGTAATATACATTGTTATTATTTATTTTAGTATGTTAGGAGATTAAGTATACTTCATAGTAGAATTCAATTTTGTCGGAGATAAAAATTGTTTCATGGTTGGATTCGACAACGTCAAAGACAAAAACACTTCATGATGGAATTATGTCACATTCCTATAGAAGGCAAAGGATATCGAATTCGTTCTTGTCAGAGGCTTCATGGTTAGATTCGATTATGTCAAAGACAATGGACGCTTCATGGTTAGAATCAACCATGCTTCCTAATCAAATTCGATTATGAATTCGATTGCATCAAAAGTAAATGATAAATCATGATCATATTGAATTGTATTGGAAACAAAGGATGCTTCATCGTCAAGTTACGTCGTGTCAAAGATAAAGGATACTTCATGGCTGGACTTGATCGTGTTAGAGCCAAAGGGCCCTTCATGCTTGAATTTGATCATGTCAGAGATAAAAGATGTTTCATAGTTAGATTCGATCATGTTGGAGGCAAATGATGCTTATGGTCGGATTCGATCGCATCAAAGACAAAAGGACACTTTGTAATTTCCCAAATCCCCTTTAGAAGGTCAGGATGTCTTTCACTTTTTCATCTTCTTTTGGACTAAATCAATCTCTGAGCTCTTCGCTCTTCGCCTTCGTCGGTCCCTGCCAACCCCTTTTCATCTTCATCGCCCCCCTTTGCACCTCCTTTACAAAGAGGTCGTAATTGTTATTAGGAGGGAGGATGTTCTTTCGAGACATTTCTCACATATAATGGAGTATCATGATTCATGACAAACTCCTTCAATTTTGATTTTCATGTTGGTCCCAAAGAACTTCATCATTTTTGTTCTTCATTTTTCATCCCATGGAAGTTCAAGCTTGTAGCTACTTGGCATAGTGATTGACCCAATACATCAAATCATTATTTTTGCACTCGCACGACAAATGAAGCTTTGGTTTTCTCTCTATCCCATCTTCATCGAGATCATCATTGCATGGGGATCATCTTGTTTAGGTGGTATCAAATTCATGGGACTGAATTGGCACCACCTTACAACATTTGTTAGGGAATATTATAGTCTCGATATTACTTGACACTAATCTGTTTGGTTTAGCTTATGTCCTTTGAATTTGAAAGGGATGCAAGGAACATTTTTTCACTCTTCTAGGAGAGGGTGGTGTTTCACCATCTCACTCCCCTTTATCCTCCGGTCCATGTAACATGTATATACTACTACGTACATGGACCGGAAGGAAGAATTTGGTGTCCTCAACGTTTGTTTGTGGCAGAGACTTTCAAATTCTGAACCGAGCCCAAATCAAACGAACAGGTAAAGAGAGAGGTAGGTGGACGACGAGTCCCTCTCTCATCATATCCCACCTTGAAGGGATCAAACCAAACCGTACGTACGACACCTATCCTGAATGAATAATATACTCTTGGCGATGATGCCTCAACTTTCAAGTCTCCTCATCCTTTGAGGAGTAAGACAATCAAGGCATGTATCAAACCCATTCTAAAGCAGATGATTCGGCCGACATGCTCACTCACACCCACAAAAGATAAAAAAAGGCTTTTGCTTATTATATACAAACGACATTTATCACAAAACACTCAAAACATATTCTAATCTAATTTCAGACACAAGCATGTCGGCCTTTGCAAGTTCAGGGTATATATATATATATATATATATATATATATATATATATAGAAAGCCCAGAAGAGAGGTTGTAGGGATGATGTGCTCCTTGTCAACTGAGGGGTGCTAAACAGGTGGAACACAGAAAATTATAAAGAAAGCTTCACAAAGTCAAAGAGTTAGATGGAGGTTTTGCAATGTAAAAATAAATAAATAAATAAAGAGGATGATTTGTTTCATAGACTAGTTAGTGAAAGAGAGAGAAAGAGAAAAGACAATCATAAAATGATACCAATAAATGTAAGAAGACAAGGAATAAGAGAGGAGGATTTCAATAAGAGAGCGTAGGAACATGAAGTGGGAGAAAGGGCAATACTGACAGACCTTAAAGGGGAACAAGAAATAATAATAATAATAATAATAGACTCAAATATCAATGTATGAACATATATTATCAAATGGCATTTTAGTCATTATGAAACAAAATTCAATGTATGAACATGCAAATCAAATGAAAATTGCTTTGTTATTTCATTACATCACAAGCAAAATGCAGACATCTCATATATTATCAAAATATGCAATCTTCGTGAACTAAAACAGCAATCAGGAGTACTGTGGTTGAAGAAGAATGACAATAACGTACTTGGGAACATAAAGAGTGCCACACGAGATGAAAAGTCCTTTGAAGTAAAATGTCCAACAAACCTCTCCAGTGGTGGTTCTCGAGTTTAAACATAAGCTTTCCTTGGAGCTACTTCCGCACAAATATTTCTGTCACCTAAAAAGGCTACAAACAATTTGCTGAAATTTCTCCTCGACGAGAACCAGTTGGCCCAGGGCAGAAAAAGTGTACCAGGATCATGGCTTGAAAGGTGCAAATACCACCACAGAGTTGTGCCCTCCAAATCCGAATGAATTTGAGATAGCTGCATAAATGCAGTCAGAAAGAGAAGTGAGAATGTATACTAACCAACATGAGAGCGAGAGAGAGAGAGAGAGAAACTAATTTACTTACCAATATTAACTTCATGCTGCTGCTTTTTGTTAGCAACTGTATCAAACTCAACTGCTGGCTCGGGATTCTGTGGTGAAGGCAAAGGAGAATAAGTTAAATCAAAATTACAAGCTAAGGACATTATATTTATTTGTCCTCTTGTAATTTTACAGGGTGGATTTAATTTGTTGATAAAAAATCTTGCGAATTCGTGCTCAAATAGGAACTACAATATTCAAAAGATGTTAATATGTTTTCTTTAACCAGGACTTGATATTTGTTCACATAAAAGTTTACATCCGTATATGACCACATTTTAGATAACATCCTTTTTGTTTTTTCACCAAGAGCCAACTTCCTACTTACAAATTGATTTATACTAGGATGCAGCCATCCAGTAGTGATGGCTTTCACTGTTGCGATGGCCTCTAAACCTCCTGCTGCTCCAAGGCAGTGCCCTATCATAGACTGCACAAGAGAACAAATTAGAAAAAAACGTTAAAGCAACACAAGTTCTTTGAAGAATATTGACACCAGATGGAGCTCACCTTGGTTGCATTCATCTTAATCCCAGATGGGTTCTTGAAGACTTGATTAATAGCATTTACCTCGGCCAAGTCACCCGCAAGAGTGGAAGTTGCATGAGCATTAATGTAACTAACCTGTATGCAAAACATCTTCGTCAGGAGGACACGATATGCAAACATGGTTCTTGTAACTAAACTGAACCATTATAACTGATTCTTCAGAGCATAGTGGAATTTTAACTAAACTGATTGCAACTGGAAAGATGACCATTAAAGCCAGTTGTTTGATGTTTATAAAGCAGAAGATTTGTGTTTGCATAAAACAATTTAAAGACATCTCTGGAATATTATTTGACAGAAGAAAAAAAAAATAAAAGGATAGTTATATTGCAAAATATTAAAAAAAAACGCTCAATGCATGAAAGACTTGAAAGAAAATTTTGAATTTAAGATATCTCACTCACAGAGAAATGATTTCTTACATGCCTTTTACATAAAAAAGATAATAATGGAAAATTTTGTAGATGCACCATAAATCTGCATGTGTTAATGCCTGGGTAAGAAATATTGCTTGCATTCTGGTGAGAAGAGGTAGCTTCAGTTGAGAATAAAAAGGGCACCAAAAACATGAGGCTCCCACTAATCTAGTGTCTAGGGAGAAGGACAAATGTCACAGACATGCTCCAGCACGTAAAAGGAGTTCTGTTCATGGCTTGTATCCATGACATCCACAACCAAGGTTAAATGGCCTTAAAGTGGTTCAGACAAGCTCAGACGATCTCTTTAATTGCATCAATAATATCTTAGAGGTTTGAGAAGACAAATAAGAAGAATGAAGCATGGCTTGTCAAAAGCAATTAGGAGATGCTGGCCTATCGCCCACCAACAAAGTTAAATTATGGAAAATAACCAATTTAGCCACAAATATAGTTGAGGAAGATGGTCCCTATATGAATGCTCAGGTTAATAGATACCAACAGAACTGAAAATGCGCACAGGCACACGTTTAACTAAAAGTGGCACGTATTATGCTGATTAGAAATAAATTTAATGGAGTTTGCAACTTTCAACAAAATTTTACCCTGAAATACAACACTGCTATGAAAGTTTATACATGCATGACAATCAACAAACAAACATATTTAAATGCTTCACACAAATAAAGATAATTGACTTACCTCTTCTGGTGCTACTCCAGCATCTTCAAGACTTTTCCTGATACAAGATGAAACTCCAAGACCATCAGCTCTAGGATCTGTCATATGATAGGCATCACAGTTCACAGCACCTCCCAGATACTCAGCTATAATTGGTGCATCACGCTTCATTGCATGTTCAAGGCTCTCCATGACCTGTTTTTCAAGAAACATCATAAGAAACAACAAAAAGCAATAATGAATATATTGATGAACAAAATATCTGCGGAGTACATCTCATGTGTTTAGCCATAACAGAAAATTAATATCTAGTGTATTATGTATTTTGCCTTGTATGGTAATTTGACACATCACATATCCAATATCCAGCAAAATAACTAGGCAGACACCAATAAAGTTGAAAATTTTAAAACCTTGATATAACTAAACAAAAATGTTATGTTTGTGCGTTTTCTGTTGCTCATTCCAAGCATTTCTCAAACTAACAGGAATAAACAATTCTACAAACTCATAATAACCATGCACTGGCTTTAATTCTCTGTCACGTACTCCAAACATGAGAATAGATATCAGGTGTGAACAAGCTTTCAGGTACAAAGTTTGCTATTGCTTGTTAAACCATCACTTACACTTTTGAGTTTGTGTTCACACTAATTACACATTGGTGCCTTCATGAATCATGATTCAATGAATCATTTTAGCAGTTAGGAAATAACATGACCACAAAAATTAGTCACCAACAAGAGGAAGTTGCAGTAAAATGTGGTGGGATTCGTATGAATAGTACACTAAGACCTGCTTTCACCAGTGAACAATTGAGAGTGCTATCAATATAAAATGAGGACCAGTCCCAGTGGTCTGGTAATGTTCAAAGAGAAACATAGGGGCAGGAAGCAAATTTAATTTGGTGGCTCAAAGAGGGATAGAGAAAGACAACTATAAAGAGATTAACAATCAGTAAAATTTAATATACAGTTGGAAACTATGGCAATTCCTCTACAATATGTGAAAATGCAATATTTGAATATCATGTTATAAAAGGTTTATTTATAGTCCATGGTATGGGAGATTTCACTTACACTTTTGTTATTTGCTGAATACCCTGACTAATTTTGTAAAACATAGCATAATGTTATTTGCTGGAGGAAGGAGAGGGCAGCGGCGATGGACGTAGAGCTTCATTTTGGGTTTGTCTCACTTGGGGTGTGGGGGGGGAGAGGGGGATTGTTGTGTTAGGGTACATCAGTTGGTTCGATTGAATCAATTTGCTCATCCAATCGAACTAGGCTTGAAACCCAACCCAACTTCACTCGGGCGCTCACTTGAGGCGCTTGGCGCCTGGGCTTAGGTGAGCTCCGAGTGCCTTTTGAAAACACTAACTCACAAGTACTGAAAAGAGACAAAAATGGTACAATATTTTCTTAACCAAATATACATATATGGACAAGTAGGAAAAACTCATGGAAAATTATTATAAGTGAAAAAATTTGTACCAAAAGAAATGCATAAGCATGAAAAATGTCTTAATTATTTCAGCTCAAGAACTACCCATTGGAAAAGCTATATTCAATTTAAGAAACCAAGCTATTAGTTAAACATAAGGTGCACAACATGAAAGATACCATGTATATGAAGATACATACCAACACACCAGCACCTTCACCCATAACAAAACCATCTCGACCTGTGTCCCATGGCCTTGATGCAGTTTTTGGATCATCATTTCTCTGGGACAGTGCTCTACAGGCGACAAACCCACCAACACCAATAGGAATAATGGCAGCTTCAGTACCCCCAGCAATCATTATATCAGCCTCACCTCGACGTATATGGTTAGCAGCAGCATAAAAGCAATAGTTGGAGGTTGCACAGGCAGTTGAAATGGAGTAATTTGCGCCCATAAATCCAATATCCATAGCAAGTAAGGCAGAACCCATGTTTGTTATAGCATAAGGAATGAAAAATGGAGTTATTTTCCTATGGCCTTTCTCTATAAGAGCCTGAACACCATCGGAAAACACTGTAAGACCACCCATGCCTGTGCCAACAAGCACACCTGCTCGAACCTTGTCAATCTGCCAGCAAAACATGGTCATTGGCATAGGATTAAGTGAGTAAAGTAAAAGATGGAATATATACACTATATGACAAATTGTATTAAGGTTATAAACCTTTAGAGAAAACAAAATGCACAACAACAACAACAGACCATAATGTTCCAACTGTTGGGGTAGGCAACATGGTCCTTTACCTCCATTAGCTCTGCCAAGAGCAGTATCACTAGTCAAACTTAGAACGATACTGATGCTTGATGGCAACTGAACCAGAAGGCTTGAATGATCTTAGTTTGACCATTATATGCATTATGAGAAAATCCTTAGAAATATCTAAATGCTGAACTAATGTGGTAGCAACATGAGGAAGCCAAGCTAGATCGAGGCCAGACTTTTTAGCAACCGCAAGAAATTGATTTTTAGCCAAAGATCTTCAATCAAGACATGAGGCATGTTATATAAGCAAACACTTAAAATGAGCATGAAAAGACTAAGTTGTCTGAAGTTGAAAGTTAATTAAGCCAGATTCACAGTTAACAGATATGGGAATAGATCACCTTTTACTGAACAAGAAATCAAACTAACAAACTATCCTATAACAAGTTGACACTGTGTCCTTAAGCTAACACATGTGGTTCTATTATTCTCATACTTGTGCTGAGGAAACTGACAAAGAGTTGTTTGCAAATGATGAGTTCACTCTGTGCAAATGTCAATTTACCACTTATGTTTCACCCCACAACCTCAACAATAAGTCAGTAAGTGGCAATCTTTCCTTGTTACCATCCATGTTTAAATAATTTCAAAGTTGAAAATAAAAAGCGACCATCACTAGTGGCATAATATTGCTCAGTTATCCATTCTGGAAAGAAATACTTTCCCTCCTTTCCTTATCTATATATCGACAAAGCACTGTAAAATACCTCCGATGATATTCCTATTATATAGCATTCCAACCGAGAGACAAGAGTTAAAGATAGTAAACATTTAGAACACCATGGTACAAGCCTCTATAGAAGGCTAGATAATGCTCTGAGCTTTCATATAGGGCTTTATCATATCCCCAGCTTTCTGCTCTTGTTTGAGGAACAGAGAAATACAGATGGAAGAACCTGATTTCATTTACCAAAGGTTTGATTTTTTTACGAGAGCAGTACCAACCTTTACCAGAAACATCTTAGAATCTCTTTGACACAACAGCTTTGTATCTTCCAACCCATTATTGATCTTTTCGGCAAGACATGGATCAGAACCAGATCTCCTCTCCGGTCCGTAAAATGTGAATCTTAAACTATACTTCTTAGTGAAATGCGAGGATGCCATACCTTGCTGATTGCTTGGCTGCCGACACCGAGGCCAGCGCTCTCGAGAGCCTTCTTGCCGCTGACAAGGCAATACCTCAGACAGTCATCGAGCCGCCGGTCGTTCTTCCCGTCAATGTACCCCTCCGACGAGAACCCCCTGATCTGCCCGGCGAACCTCGTGGGTAATTTGGAGGCGTCGAACCGGTCGATGGGCCCGATCCCGCTCTCCCCCTCCAGAAGCTTCTCGTAGTACGCATCTACGTCATTCCCGAACACCGAGACAAGCCCCATCCCGGTGATGACCACCCGCTTCTTGGGATCCGTCTCGCGGCGTGGCGCCGCCGCGACGACGGAGGCGCGGATGGAGCTGGCGCCGGCGGGCCGGCGGAGGGAGGGACGTCGTGGGGTGGCGGACGGCGTAGCGGGGGAGAGGCGGAGGCCGTCCATCGTAGGGACGCGGAGGGTCTGCATCCCGGTGCTGGGTAGAACCCTAGAATTCTGGGAGGAGGGAAGAGGGCGAAACGCGAATAGAAATGGGAGCTCGAAGCAGAGGGAGGGAGAATAGGGGAGGCGGAGACGTCGAGGGAGAAGATTTGATGTATTATCACATCCGACGTTCTCGACTAAACACCAAACATGTGAATCTCCGTTGATAAACGTGAAACGCATTCACAGAGAGCGGGTCCCACGGGCCGAAGTCTTTCTGGAAGACAGCGGATCCGAAGCACTTGTGTGGCGATTCGGTTGGTCCGCCGGAACAGAGGACAGCGATCTGAGCGGGGCCGGGCCGGGCCGGCCGGCTATCGAGGCGATGAAGCCGATGTACCGCGTTTGTGACGTGGCTAAATATGATTGACTGCAAGCAGCTATGACGGCTGGGGGAGCCTTAATGTGGTTCACCAGACACATTGAATGAGCTGATCCAGCCTCATTCATGTCCCATGTAGGAGCAATGTTCCGGAGGAGCATCTTAAGTGTACTTCTTCACCGACCTTGTTTATGGATTCGGGTATTTACCGAGGCAAACGCGTCACAACGGGCCGGCCCATTCGTACCGATAAGTCCAGCCCAGTAAAAGGTAAGAAGGACATCTCACAAAATATTCTTCTGAAAATAATAATAATAATATATATATAATAAGATTTATTCGCAGAAAAAAGGCGGCGCCACTTCCATAGCTTAACGTCCGCCGCCATTCTGCCCAAACCTTCTAGGAGCTTCCAGAACCCTCTCTCGTCTGCTCCTCAACAGCTCCTGTCACTCTATTACCTGATCCGAATTGAAAATAATCTTGGAAGTATGAATTTTGTTTCAAGGATATAAATATTAACTGTATCCAATAATAAATTTTCTTTTATTATTATTGTTGTTATCATCGGCGCAAAATTAGATATTTGTCTTCCTTGATGTTGTTTTGGATCTGGATTCGGGTTGGAATCTCCACAGATTTGGATTTGGATCTACGAAATTGACATGCACGATGTGCTTGTCAGTGATGGATACGCATGCAGCAGCGTGAGGGCATAAGTCAACGCGGTCATGCAACGAGTTGACTCGCTTCGGTTTGACTAAGAATTATGCAAGAATATTACTGCACAAACCCTCTCGCTGGGAGGACGACGACTAGTATCATATCCTCCGTTATTAAGGACGAGTCTACTTTCCCACAATATAAACACAATAATTAATGATCGTCAAATTTTTTTCATACCTAACAAAAATAAATTATGTTAATTGTCAGAAGGGAAAAGAAAAAAAAAACTTTTATTTTAATTCTATGTGCATTATAGTCCTATTTATAGGGTGAAAAATAATAAATTCAATCTAGAAATTAAAGGATGTCAAATCCTAATTATTCTGTGAGAATCAGGAAAGTGATATGAGATCCCTTTTATATATTAACTTTAATATATTCTTATAAACTTAAAGATGATTTAATATAAATCAGCTTAAAATTAAAAAAAAAATTAAATCTAGAATTAGTCGATTACGTAGGTAGATCATTGACGAATAATACCATGCATAGTAGATCATTGACGAATAGAGGAAGATCGTCGTCGTATGAAGAAGGTAAAAAAATCATTGTCGAGTCGGAATGAGAAAGACCATGGATCCATGAGAGAGAGAGAGAGAGAGAGCCTTCATTTTGGAACAGTAGAATCGATCCATCCCACGAGGGGAAATGTGGGGTTTTTCCTTTTGTAGCCAGTGGACTCCACTACTGCTTCCAGTTTGACTTTCTTGCGTGGTCGGTCCCCGCGTGAGACCTTCACACTGTGAGCCGCCATTGGCCTCCTCCTTCCTCCACCCCTCCCGTGGATACTTGCACTTTCTCTCACAGTTTATGGTTCACCTGGTCAACTAGGTGACACGAGCGGTGCGTCAAGTGGTTGGAGAAACGTTGTTGTTTTATGGAGAAGGTGCACGCGCACATCGCTTCCCAATCGACAACCGCAGTCGTCCTAACTCCACCGCGGGAAGCTCGCCTTCGATTTCCCCACCACGCGCTTCGCTGCTACGATGTATATGACCCCATGACGAGCCCTTCCCGCCATCGCCACTCTCGCCGAACGTTTGGGAGACCACGTTGCAGGTCGCCCGAGGAGAGGAGACGATGGAGCGGGAAGGACGCGGGGCGGCGGCGGGGGAGGAGAGGCGGTACAAGGGGGTGCGGCGGCGGAAGTGGGGCAAGTGGGTGTCGGAGATCCGGCTCCCCAACAGCCGCGACCGGATCTGGCTCGGGTCTTACGACTCACCCGAGAAGGCCGCCCGGGCCTTCGACGCCGCTGCCGTGTGCCTCCGTGGCCCCCGCGCCCGGCTCAACTTCCCCGATTCTCCTCCGCCCTGCGCCACGCAGCCCCTCTCCCCGCAGCAGATCCAGGCCGCAGCTGCCCGCCATGCCGCGACACCGCCGTCGCAGCCGAGGCTTGCTCCAACCGCTGGGGAGGCCGGGAGCGGGGAGCAGCTGGACTGGTCTTTCATGGACCCGCAGCAGGCGGCAGCCTCGGAGGAAGGCACCGAGTTCCCAGCCGCGATGGACGACTACATGTACGACTTCTTCTCGCCGGCGCCGCCGGCGGATGTGGTGGAAGACCACGGGGCCGTCGACTTCGGGTCCAACTCTTTCCTCTGGAGTTTCTAAGAGACGCTGCACCATAAGGAACTGCACGTCGCCGCTCTGCACATCGTTTACTTATATTCGTTCAATTGTTCACTAATCTATATATATATATGATTTGTCATAATGCTATACAAAATTTAGGATCATTCTTTAGTGTAATTCCAGTGATATAGAAACTCTGATTACTTATCATCATAGCAGTCGTTTTAGTGAGAGATAAAACAACTTTACAAACTCAATAAATCCACACTGAAATGTCAACTTTTGATTAACATAATATTTGGTGCAGCATACTAATAAAAAAAATTGGTAACTTAAAAGAGCAGACAAAATGACTAAGAGAAGAAGAAAAAGAAGCAGAATGTAAAATTCTAGCAGCCAATCTCAGTTCTTTAAAGTTTAAACATAGCTATGGGTCATATGGAAATTGCCTGTCTAAATTTTTCCTCACTCATTTTAGAATGGGTTACCAAAACTATGACAAGAGAGTGTCAAAAGCATTGAGAGACACACACAAACAAAGCAGAGAGAAAAACAAAAAAGTGCCCCATGTTTCATTTAGTTTCCATTATTTCTTCACTTTAGAATGCGAGCAGACAGCTCAGCTGCATTCGAGAACACATGGTCTGAATCATACTGCTTACATGGTGATATGCCAATAGTATGCTGGTGCAGGATAGCAAGGAAAGTCTTACAACATGAACACTTCTCATTGGAAACTTGATGATGTCTAGGACTCATGACAAGCAGCAAAGCTGGGATTATGGTCATTTACTAGTAAATCCACAATTGCACAAGTTCAAATTGAAGTAGTCTGAGCCCAAGACTCTAGCAGCAAACACTAAGACAGATTTTTTTGTCATGAAAAGATACCCTATCTTGTCACCATCAGGATGATAAAATCACTGGAAAGATACAACATTGTTTGTCTCAGTGGAATGATGTGAAATTTGAACTTGGAAGCTTTATGAGATTTGCTATATAGAAGGTTTCATCACAGAAATTGTCAACCATTTTGTGGCTCTCGTAAACCCACTATATAGAAGGGTCAGCATGACCAGGGCCTCATATTAGATTTATGAAATAACCAGATGATCCCCACTTTATGAAGAGAAATTTATTCATGTTACAGCAAGAATACAAAAGGACAAAAGAAAGATGCAACATTTACATCTAAGGAAAAGGATCCGAATTAGCAACATACATACAACCAACAGAACAATCAGATCAACCGTTGTTGGAAGACTTGGTCAGGTTGTCGCTGAGGTGTACTGATTTATGGATGGAAAACCTAATGACACATAAACTCACCAAATGGTTTGACTTCATACCTCATAAAGCATGATAATGGTAATGAGAAAAAAAAAGAACCTTTGATGGACAACATGAGAGGCATCCACTGCAGCAAAGCAAAAGATGGATGGAAAATTGTCATTTGTATTCTGTGCAGATAATGTCATAGATCCACGGGCACAAAAGGGAATCCTCTTACTAAAGTTAAGACATAGAGATCACTGAAGACAGCATGACTGGGATTAAATCCTGACGTACAAAATTGGTTCCCTTGAACTCCTTGCAGTCAAGTAAACCTTGAAAGCTGCTAGTCCTCACGAGCCTGCGAAGGCCTTCATGAATTGGACTTCAACTAATTTATTGACATCCGGAGCTTAGGAAAAGGATCACCTATGTGATATATCACCATAAAAAAATTGATGAACTCAAGATCTTAAAACATGCTGATCCAAATACCAGTCCTCAGCCAAGCTTCCATCACCAGTAGTCATTACAAGAGCAAATACCATCCTCAAAATGGTGGAAGCGGCTCCGATCCCTCACGATTATTCTACGTCCATAGACCTTTGAAATAAGCTTTATCGAGGAGTGGCAATCCCCACAAATGCGCAAGTTTTTCACGATATGCAATGTTGTCCCTGAGCTCGTGCTGATCAAACCAAAGGCAATAGCTATCTTCTCACTGTGGTAGAACAGTGTGCTCTCCTTCTTTTCCTCTTCGATGTTGAGCAAAACTTGCGCCGTGTCTGGTACATAACCTGCCTCCTGTAATTTGACAGCCATCTCTTCTAGCATCAAATAGATCTCCTTGGTTCGTGGATGGGTGTAATCTTCCACCACAAACTCATGAATCATGCCATCGATTGTAATCCAACTACATCCTGGATCTTTCCTTACTTCCAATTCCCTCATCGTTAGTCTCAGCTTAGCTACGGTATCCCACTCCCCTAAAGAGGCAAAAAGGTTTGAGAGGAGCACATATGAGTCACCGTGATGAGAGACGAGTTCCATGAGGCACTTTGCAGCACGCATTCCAATCTCGACATCGCCATGCTTTTTGCAAGCTGCTAGGAAGGCCTTATAAATTACATCATCTGGCTTCACAGGCATGTTAACTACAAGCTCCTCAGCCTCTTCAAGAAGCCCTGCACGACCGAGCATATCGACGATACACCCATAGTGCTCAATTCTAGGGCTTAGCCGATAGACGTTGACCATTCGGTTGAAGTACGACCGACCTTCATCCACCAAGCCCGCATGACTACAAGCATTCAGAACTCCAATAAAAACAACATCTGATGGTACAACTCCAGCTTTCTCCATCCTCTGAAAATAATCCAGTGCTTCACTTGCCCGCCCGTGCAATGCAAGCCCACCAATCATCGCGCTCCATGTGATTGGATTGCGCTTTGGTAGGCCTTCAAATACCTGAACAGCCTTGTCGATGTTTCCGCACTTGGAGTACATGTCAACTAGAGCCGATCCTAGAACATCATCCACCTCTACAACATTCTTTTCTGCATATGCATGGACCCATTCACCCAACTCAAGGGCACCTAGCCGTGAGATTGCAGGCAGAACGCTCACCAGAGTGACATAATTGTGTTTCACGCCTTCCAATTGCATCTTCCTGAAAACACAAATCGCCTCCTTAAAGTGACCAGTCTGTGCAAACTTAGATATCATGCCATTCCAAGATATCACACTTTTATTCGCCATTCTGTCGAACACTTGCCTCGCTTCTTCAACCATGCCGAGCCTAAAATATCCATCGATCACAATGTTATGCAGCACGACGCTGGATTCGCTCTCAGGCGACAGGGAACTCTTCTCGACCAACTTCCGAGCATCTTCCATGAACCCACAACACGCGTACATCCTCACCGAATTGGTAAGGACAAACGCGTCATCGTCCCACCCCAACTTGATGACTTGTCCATGGACCTGCTTCCCTTCTCGGATCGCTTCGGCGCGAGCGCAAGCCTTCAACACGGAAGGAAAGGTGTATCGGTTTGGTCGGGCGGTCTCGCAGAGGAGCATCCGGGAGAAGAGCAAAAGGGACTCGGAGGGGTGGCCGCCGTCGCTCTCGGAGTAGGCCCGGATGAGGGTGTTCCAGGAGAAGCAGTTGGGCTCCGGCATTTGGTCGAACACCCGGCGGCCGTAACGAAGGTCGCGATGTTCCGAGAGGACGGAGGACCTGAGGACCTCGGCCGCGACGAGGGGGTCTCCGAAGAGGCCTGTTTTGATGGCCAGGGCGTGGAGTTGGTGGAGGTCTCGGAGGGTTTTGGAGGTCTTGAGAGAGGATACGAGGGAGGAGGGAGACGAAGAGGGGCAAGTCGGAGGGGAGAGAAGAGGAAGGCATGGAGAAGGGTTGAGCGACGTCGCGATGTTCGAGTTCAAGTTCATTCTGTGACCTCCTTAGCGTACTCCATGGATTGAGCACGGAGTGGTGGGTGTCTAATTAATATATATATATATATATATATATATATATATATATATATATATATATATATATATATATATATATGTGCCCAACTCACTCGATTTAAGCTCATAAAAATATGTAACTCTCATATATTTTTATATTTTAACTAAAAAAATAATATTGATCATTTTATTCATTATAGGCTTCTCTTTTTTACATAATATTTGAAATAACTCTATCTATCTATCTTTTTTTTTTTTCTTCCCTTTTCATATGGACTAGTCCATAAAGTTAATATAGTGTTTTTACACTGTATTATAGTGTTTTCAATAATATCATAAAAATATTATAATAATATAATAAAAGGATGCTATTGGATATTCTGAAAATAGGATATTTTTCGAAAAAAGCAAAAAAAGAATATTCTGAAATTTACCGTAGATGATGACACTTCAACAGTTGTACCTCTCTTTTTACCTTAAATTATGGGCGCAGAATAATGGCCAGCGTTGGGTGGGTCCACAGTGGGCCCACCTTCTGTTGGCTCGTTCAACACATGCTTTCCCTTACCAAAATAAATATCTTTCGTACAGCATCCGATGGCTTCTCCTTCACTCCACCGCTTTGCTTTCCGCTTTACTCGCCTCAGCGAACACTTCCAATTAGGTACTCCACAGACGACAAATAGCCACATCAATGGGCCATGAAGCAAGACGGTCTTCTTCAAAGAAGAAGGTGAAGAAGACCGAGCTCTCCTACTACCCCAACGGAGGAAGAAGAAAAGATGAGATTGGCGTGAGTGGTTGAGGAGAGGAGGAATCATCAATAGACACAGGAGGAAAACGTGCAGCTCCCTAAAGTTTGGTCTTCACAAGAAGCTTGCCTTGTAAGTAAAGCCAGCATTGCTTGCGGCCTCGCTGGAAGATCACCATGACACCAAAAGCTGCCTTTTTTTTCTGCTGTTCTTTGAAGATATTATTATGCCCAATGATCCAAGATGTCTTTAAGTTTAGGTTCAATTTGCTCATATCACTGCCAGGAATCTCAATTCTAGAGATGCTACAGATCTGTATCTTCAAGTTCAATACAGAGATCAGCAGTTCTAACTGGCAAATAAGAACATTCCCCGACGAGGGAGTTCTTACAAAAATACAAGGTTACATCAACCAAGAAAAACCCAACACTACCACCTCTCTTACTCTGATCGTCCTCTCGCTAAGAGGATGACGATGGAGGCTACAAGGACGACAAGTAGCGGATCTGACAACTGATCACCATAGTCAGATGGAGCTCTGTATCAGTTGTGCCCAACACATCCATATGTCTGCCGCTTGCTACTCTCTGAGCTCTGCTCTGGCTGCGGAGTTTGCCGGCCTAGGTTGAGCCACGACTCTGGCTTGCCCTCCTCCATGGATGCAGAAGAACCATGTACTTGATATGGGGCCTTGGTGCTGATCCTGGAAGATGATGGCAAGGAGAAGAAAAACTTTAGCTTTCAGCTGCAGTAACGTCGTGTGGATCTATTTGGGAGTATCGATTACACACCGGTCCTTCCTCTTCTCGAGGAATCGGTGGAGGGAGTTCCTTCTGGCTATGGGCATGTCTGCAATCCGTCAGAAGCAGCTACTGGTCAGTTGGGGGGGGAATTCATCACATCACTTTGCTGGCAATAGATTACCATGACAGAGGAGTCGTTACCTGAAGCATTGGCCTTCGACAGGCTATCCGCAGGGGCTGGCGTCGCCGGACTTCCGGCGGACCGAGGGCCATCAGCTCTGGCAGTGGAGGAGTGATGGGTGGAAAAGCTGAGATTTTGGGGCGCAACGCTTTCTTTGGCCGCCATCTGCATCAGATCCTCGGCCTTTTCGGCTGGGAAATCATCAAAAACCAGCACCTTTCCACCATAGAAGATCGTCAGTTGGCCCTTCTCCATCTTCCTGAAACCATGGTTGGAAGCATCAGATTAAGCTCCCTAGTCATCACATAAAAATCTGTAGCAGAGTCTTACTTGATATCTGAGGTCTTCTTGCCAGGTTCCTCCATGGCCAGAGCACCTGAATCAAGACCAGACTTGTGGGGAAAGAGATCCATGGATTTCGGAGATGTTTGATCCTCTCCCGGCACATCCACCCCTGGCAACAGGCTCATGGTCGCCGGCGCCGGAGATTTACCTGAAAGAAAAAGAAAGATCAGAGTAAATTCTATCTACGTCAATTACTTGTTCAAAGAGCAAAACTGAAGAACATGTAGAACTAACAAATAAGGCGAAAAAACAAAAGGCTTTTAGAGATCCAAAGCTAAAAAAATCTCACCTTTACCCTGTTGATCAAGAGCTTTAGGGGTCATCTCCAAGCCAAGGCCACCCAAGCCGCCCTTCTCCTTCAAGTACTGGCTCAACAGCCTGCACGTCTCATTGAAGTTGGACTTCTCTCCCTTGCTTCTTCCCATCTTCCTCCTCCTCCGCCTCCTCTCTCCTCACCCTTCTCGAGCCTTTTTGTTTTATAGAAATCGTGCGTTGGAATCGTCCATTGGGTGAGAGGGAAAGCGAGAGAACAGTGCGGCGGAGTCGAGAATCACGTGTTCTTTTCGAAGTGGCTGAAGGAGGGAATTGATGGCGGAAGAAAGAAGGAAGAAGAAAAGAGAGAAGGGAATAATAAGACTTGGAAACACGTGATGCCTTCGACAAACAACAAACGTCGGCCGCAGAGAAGAAGACTGAGAGTGCAGCTGCTGTCACAGTAACACATGCAGTGGGCGTAATCCTCACAAGACTACAAATTAAATATGATGCATTAAATTCTTCAGCAAATATGTTCAGCATTTACTATCTCCAACAAAAATTTGATGCCATTTATTTAACAGATGTTGGATTCTCCGTGAAAATAAATTTTTTAAGCATAAGATATAATTTTGTTTATCAATTTTAAAAATACATTAAATACTTTTTATTTTTATTATTTTTATTCTTATGTAAGAAATTTTTATTTTTTTCATGAACATCAAGGAATTTATACTTTATTTTAATTATTCTTTTGAGAATTTAAGACGAATGTTATCATGGTATATAGTACCGAATGGTACCGTCCGGTACGGGCGGTATGTACCGATCCGATGACATACTGGTACGTAGATCATTCGGTACCGAACGAAACATGCTATTACGGTATTACACTGTATCAGTGCTACAGTAAAGAAAAAATATATATATAACTATTCGATACACCTTGGTGTACCGTTCGATACGCCCTGGTATATCACTTGGTACGACGGTACCGTATCGTATCGAGCCAAACCTCGAAACATCGGTACGGTACGATATTGCATACCTATCTCGAAGGTAATTATATCTTGGTTCCTTATTTCTTAATAGATATATATATCTATATTAAAAATACCTGTTTTTTATTTTGTCAATTACTAGCTAAAAATGAATCAAAAAAATATATTCGAGCAAAATTATGAGATCGTAAACGGAATGAGAGAAAAAAAAGAGAGAGATTGACTCGATCATATCTTATTATGGGAAGACAATGTTCCCCGTGAATGGGAGGGAGTTGATGGATTACCCGAGTCAACAACTCTGTCGCTTTGACTTCTGGTCCGTGAGACACGATTTCTTAGAGAAATTATATATATATATATATATAATAAACCTATAAAGTCAATTTACAATATATATTTTTAATCCATGTTTTCCACGTCTTTATCGCCGCCATGTCGTCACCCTATGGATAAACATGAAACACATCACAATCTCACTGTTGCATTTAATGTGTACACGAATTCCGAGAAAGAATCTTAGGACAATAATTTTTATTTTTCTATTTTTAGAACTCTTAATCTGAATGTAATTTACCGAATTACACTATATTCCTTACAAATGTTTAATGGAAAAAAGAGAAAACTCCCATAATCATACAAATAATTTCTCAAGCCACCTTCTTCGTCCCCAAAAAGATCTCTCTTTACAATTTTATATAAATAAAATTATCTACTATGTTAGCCAATATAATTAAAAATCATTCCAAATTAAAATAAAATTAAGTGAACGTTAATGATAAATAAACTAAGGGAGGGAGAAAAGTCTGACGCAACGTTTATTTTGAGTGGATAGAGGCTCGTTTTTGATGATAGCGACATATACAATGATTTGATGATGGTTGTCTTTGATGGGATTCTTTAGAAGACATACTTGAATCAGATGCCTCACCAACAATTTTTTAGATTTATCTTTGTGGTTGAATAAATTTACGAGTATAGAAATATCTTTGGAGTTCAAAACTAAATTTCAAATATATGATAATATCAACTCCTATTAATCCAAGATTTATAAAACTATATATATAAATTAAAAAAAAAATTATATTATTAGTTACTAGAAGCCTTTGCATCATAATAGTTTTTTTTTTATCGGATCATCGATTTAACAAGGATATAATTCTAATTTTTCTATTCGAGGATTATAATAAAAATGAGTGATTGAAAACAAATTAGGTTGTCATGTGCTATCAATTCTTAAATTTCAATCTAAATCGAATTCGACTCCCTCAATCCCTACAATCATGGAACCACCAATCTCTATCTTCATATCTTCCCCAATATCTCACACTCGAGAGAGGACTGTGAGAGGCCACATCACCTTGCAACTTTCGAAGAAGACTAATGTGTGTATGGATGGAGAGAAGGGCCTCCTCATTAGGTGTATTTATCATACGTCCACATCTACATCTCATCTCCCAAACAAGCGTGACAAAACAGCATAAATATGTGAAATGTGCCCACCACCCAAAAACATGGCCTTTGGCTATGTGTTGTTTTCTCTTCCAACTATTTCGTGAGCAAGCCATGTGGATTGCCACTCGAAGATTGTTGCCATGTCATTGTCCACGAACAAAATTAGTATGAACACTTGGACCAAAGTCAACAAGAGTACGCGACATCAACATCATCTTGTGAAACTTGCGGCTCCAATTTAGGTGGATATCTTAATCCAAATTCGGGGGGCCACTTTCGGGTACTCGTTCAAGAAAAATGATGAGATTGCAATTTATGCTATCACAAAGATACCATATATAAGTCCCACCACATATAAATAATAGAAAATTGGGTGTTTACGAAAAATGATATGATAAAAAGATCTTCGATTTTGGAGCATCACATTCTAACATAATTCTACGATGAGTTATGTGTGTAATATGTAAGAAAACTCAAGTTCATGTGATCTTCTTTTCGTTTACTAACCTCCGATTAAGCTTATGTATAATAATATAATATAATATAAAACTAAAATTCAGATTTAAATAAGTGATGAACAATATAAAAAATGATCTAACTCTTTAACGAACTAATTATATATTAACCTATATAATTAGTCATCTTTAAGTTACATTAAGATCCTTATGCTACACAAGTTGAAGGTCAAATCATGAAAGATCTTCCCGTAGAATCTTAGTTGAAACAGAAGAAAATATTTCAGTAGGAAGAAGACACTGGAAGAAATAGGAACAAGAATTACAAAGGAAATTGCATTTCATAGTTATCATCAAAATTATATCACTTTCATTTAATTTTCCTTTCTTATCAGGGATCTTGTTTGATACAGCAATGTGCAGGACTGTTCTCTTGCAATGCTTCCCAGTGTAGATCTGGGAAGAACCCAACAAATGAGAGGTCCCTTACCATTTCCAACAGTAGATGTTACACAGTGAGGCGTTTGGATTGATCGAAATAGACAGCATGATAAAGGAGAAGAGTTGATAATGTTAATCTGAAGAGTATCTTCCGGTCTTTGCAGCTTCAGCGGGTTAAACAAAATTTATCTTCTTGGAGAACAAAAAAACTCTATAGTTCATCATGCAAGATAATACCTGCATGAAAAAGAGAAGCAAGAGGAAGATAGTATTCATTAAAGAGCATATTTAGAGTTGTTAAACTACCATTATTTTGTAACTTAGCTTAGCAAAATCACTTTGTTATTCCTTTAATGAGACAACAAATACATAGCAATATTTATAGAGAGTAAGAACTGACCAGGTGATATTTCTCCAAAGAAAAATGAAATTTCTCTTGCAGCTGATTGAGGAGAATCTGAACCATGAACACAATTCCTCTCAGAATTCGACCCACACATGGCCCTAATGCTGTAAATTAAAAGCAGAGGTAAGCATGAGGAGAATTAAGTTATACTTGCAGAATTGTGTGATAGAAAAGATGCAGAGCTCGACATAATGTCTCATGAAGACTGTAAGAACTATGTGATAAAAAGAGAAACCTATCATGACCCCATCACCCCCAATTTCCCATTCTCGCGATCATGACATTCACTTGAACCATACAATGGAAACCTACCATGACCACAACATGAAAGGACCTTTAAGCATTCAAAGGTAAGGGACTCCCAGGTATCATTGTTCAAGTTTCATCAACCAAGGCAACTGTTCTCCTTGATTATACTAGGGCGATCGAACTTGTTTGCAAAAAATATCATTAACCAAGAAAATACCTAATCTCTCTTGTTGTTCATTTATGCTACATAATTACTGTTTCAGATGTCTGAGTGAGGCACATGGATACAGTATGTTGATGATACATTATGCCTATGAAACTCTCACTTTCTGTTTAGGCTTAGAAAATCAACATTTGCATCCTGAAATTGGGCCTGCAATCCTTTGAGATGCTATCAGCTTTGATCATAAATTAACGCAAAAGCATATTAGTTTACTTGGGTTAGCTTCTGTCTTCAAGCATTCTTTAGTCTTATTACCCTTCAGGCATTTCAGTTTGCTTCTACTTGAAGAATTATAAACCACAAAGAATTGGTCACCTCAAACTTAGAAGTCTGATGAGCAATCAGCCGAGCGGAAAGTCCAAATGCCTCACCTTAGGAGAAAAGTTAATTTGATGAACTTGGTGATATCTGCACTACCCACACACTACAAATACATTCTCTACTTACTGCAATATGTTATTTAAAAGAAAGACAATATGTGACATGAGTGAAGCTTTGGGATTGACGATATCAAAAAATTTAACAACGGGTGATCAAATAATATGAGGCCGACGATACATGTGTAAACAATACATTTTGAATAGCTACTTGCAATTTTGGCATGAAAAATTGCGTTGACACTGCATATATAATTAGGTTTCATATTGATGGATTTTGGACCTCCATATGAGCCATGTTCCCCCAAAAGCTATTTTGCCATTTGTACCAATCAGAGTTAGTCATGGAACAATTTATGATAAGAAGGAGGGAGAACAAATGTTGAACTATGCAGTTCACTAGAAGCTTCAAGCATTAAGAAAACAGGGTCTAGTGAAAGCTGAGATGAAAATGGAAGTCCTCAAGAAGTTTCTGGGTGAAATTTTGTTAATATGCATTATTAATGATGAACCAGGTGTTCATTGCACAAACACCTATTGGGATTGTCTAGACTGATTGGAGTGTTCATTTTTGACTGCTTCCAGCTTATCAAACAGCTTAAGCTTACAAGTGTGAAAGACTTTAATTAACTACACTCTAATACCCCCCTTCACGTGTGACCCGGACGAAGGATAACCGACTTTGCATGTGGACCTAAATGAAGGACAATGATGCAAGCCACAGAAAGTTTAATGGGCTTTGCAACTAAGTTCATGTTCGGAAGAAGAAATGGATGAAAAAAATGAAGGAAGAGTTGTGAAGTAAAGAAAGCTAGGATCAAACACATGACCTACTATCTTACCATGATAAAATGTTATCCACCAATGCTAAAAACTTAAACTACTAGAAGCAACAGGGTCTTTTTGTTCATATCATAACATGTAAATCAAGGGAAGTATAGAATAACTAAAAATTTCACTCATTAATTCATGCTTCATGAGTTGTAGAGTCGTTTGGGACAAAGGGGATAAAGAAGAGACGTTAATAGGAGGCTATGTTGTATAAATCTTCACAGGTGGTAGCAACCATTGTGGTGTTCCTCAGTCTCATCTTTTAGTTAGCTGGTCACTCGTTGTCTCCTTCCCCACCATCCTCTTTCACCTTTTGCTCCATTCCACACAACTGTTTCTGGAAGGTTCTTTATTTTTCTGCTTCATTACACTCTGAAATGAAGTTGATGGGTGCTACCTCTTCGTTGCTAAAAAACAGCATGTACATGCAGGGACAAGAAGCATCAGAATTCAATCTCATGCTACAAGAATATAAGAGGCATTCAAACTCAAATCATCTATAAGTTAAAATACAATAAAGGCTAATTTGGTTAATCTAACCTTATAGTAGTAGACTTGGTGATCAGTTCATTTAACAATCTGTTCTAAAGTTTTCAAATATATTTTTGGTAACATGACAAGATTTATATCTAAAAAAGCCAAAAAAGCTTAAGATGCTCGAGTAATTGTTTTATCAATAGAAACTGATATAATTGTTTATTTTTCTAGCTGGAGAGATAATAAAATAAGAACAAGAAAACCTGTTGGGATGGGAAACTTTAGCTTTTCCGGCATCTGTTGGTCCAATCAGAGCACGCCAATCAGCAATAGCATTAGTCTTCTCAATAACCATTACAAGCACTGGACCACTGTAAGTTAATAATATTTTGCTCATTGAACTAACAAGTAAAATTGAACAGTATTAAGTACAGTAGGAAGAAAAATAATAATAATCGTACTTTAACTACCTTCAAAGAAATCATTGAAAATTTTTCAAAAAGAATTGGATAAGAAATTATTAAAGATCACAGTAAATCATGCTTGTGAAAGATAAAGACAAGACAAATTTATTGGCATCAATTACAGAAAATATATACCATAATGTTCATATATGTAAGTAGGAACTAAGAAGAAGGGTAGTGATGAAACTTATACGAACATACACAAAGCTTTCAAAAGAACAGACAAATTTCATAAGGGAATAAGCAAAACGGGAGGGGAAAGTTAAACAATCAAACAGAAAACTATTGCACAAAGATAGAGAAAAAGGACAACATATGTAACCCACTGAATCATTGTAACCAACCTCAATAAAGCAAACACTAAACAAGAAAAATCACAAGAGATGAAGTTGGAAGAAAAAGATTTCATCAGTACTAAAAGAATAAGAAGGTAGGGCATCTAGATTCTGCATTTTTTTTCAGATGTCTGGATGAAACAAACCAATGCAAATGCATATGAATTAATGGACATAGTCCAGAAATATAATCATTCTTTACAGGATTGGGCTGAAACCATTCTAAGCGCCTGAAAGGAAGACTAAGCCTAGCACTTTGGTACTTTTTTGGGCTAAGGATCATGTCCCATACTTGGTTCATCAATCTCTTAGGTACGGGATTCTTTGCTCAAGATTCACAAGTGTCAAATGCATAAACAACAAAGACTCTATAGCAATTGAGCATTAAAAGTTTAGAACTTTAAAAATTGCAACACTACATTCACAATATGTTTGCTCACCATTAATAAATTAACTTTCTTGGAAGCAAAAAGAAAATTGTATCATTTCCTCTAAGAAAAATGTATCACTCAGTGTGGTTTTTCTTCTGGAAGGTTATTACTGCCATTCACTTTGTATTCTAAAGATTGCCACCTTCAACTAAAAAAAGGATACAATTCCAGTTGTTGAAAGCTATAATAGGGAAAGACAAGTTTAAGAACAAAAGCAGTGATGCAAGAAAATTTCAAGTTAATACCTTGTCATGTACTCAACAAGATTTGGAAAGAAGCTCTTTTCAGAATGTTCGGAGTAGAACAGTGATACATTTCTCACATCAAGCTGGAGCATCATCTCATGGACTATGACAAATCCAGATTGCACAATAACATGCTTTATCTGGTTCGTGAAGTTACCACGGATTCCATCTGGTTTTATCATAGCCAAAGTTCTCTCCTTTTCCAAAGCTGCATAGCTCAGAGACCTGAAAATACTCGAGAATTTAATCTGCAGGTCAGTACAGTTATCAACTTATCAGGTATCAAAATGATGTCATCCAGAGTCTCTTTTGCAAAGTCAACCAATTATATTATGCACTAAGATAAAGAATTTTTAATAAAATGTATCATCAAAATGAAAGGAATTCATCAGTGATCACTAAAGTGTAAATTTCTCCAAAATAAGTAAAAGAATAGTATAAGAAAGAATAGGAGAACAAAAGATACCTCTAAGTAAAGCAAACTATTTTTTTGTTAGAAGAACAAAAAGATAAGCTTGTATCTCAATGTTAGAATAGGAGAAATTGAAAGCATCAATGAAAACTCTCGAGATAGCTAGATTCATGTTCAATAATGGAACAACTCTAGGCATAAACAGATAGAAGAATGATAAACGCCCAAATATGAACACACACACACACACCAAAAATCAAAAGCCAACATTTTTAGAAAGAACCGGAATGACAAAATTAAGCTGACAGCTACCACATAAATGAGAAAGAATCGTTCAATATTCAATAAAAATAAGAATCATGCAGCAATTATGGAAAACCGTAGTTTGTCAGCTATAGCTATTGCTACATCGTACGTGACAACAAGACCTGGACAGAAAGAGAATCTCAGTTTGTCAACCAACCAATTCTATGATGATGAATCACGTGGACAAAAATAACAACAAACAGCAAAAGTTATGAATCTAGAAAAAATTCTTAATAAGGTAAAAAAAAAAAAGAGAAAGTGTCCTATCATATGAAAATATAGCCAACAAGCCTAAAAGGTTGTATTGCTGAGTGATCCTTAAAGGTGATGAAAGATACCACAATATCAGAATCACATACATCAAAAGCAAAACATTTATTCCCAAATCAACAAAATAGACCTACTTAACATGAAAATATTTATAGATATAAGAGCTATGGGTTTTAAGCTAAAAGGTAATCTAACCAAAACAAGCTAAAAAATGAAGCAAGTAGATTGATCTTAATATAGTATACAGAGGGAAGAAAATCTTCTTCTTTTACAATGGGGAAAATATTCCAAACTCATCATGGAAAAGATTATTCAGCTTCAAGAAGGCTCAAATTCACGTAATAGCGAAAGATCGTAAGATTGAAACTCTGAAACAAATGTCTTGCGTTGTTTCCTCATAACGACAAAATGTGTCTCTACTATTTAAAGAACAAAAAGATACAATTTTAGAAAAGAACAAAAAGAAGATCCAAAATCTTCACAGCCGTTTCTTCGAATAAAACCAAGATGACTCAAACAAGCTCCGTACACTAAGAGAGCAGGAATCTAATTGAAATCACGCAATAGCACACCAGAAGATTCAATTTATCGAAGAAAAATCGAGACCTTAAGCAAAATCCGACAGAATAATATATTTGAAATCTATCTAAAATAAAAAACATTCGAAACAAAATAAACCAAAATCCTTATAGTAGTATGGCGCAAGACCTGCGGGTTTACTTACTGAAGGAAGAGGATGACGAGGAGGTGGAGAAGGAAGACCGAGATCAGCCGCATCGGGAGCGGAGGGTGATCGGCGGATCAAATCGGGAACGCTTCGCCTTCGGAGGCCATTAGGGATCGCAGCTCAGGTGCCTTGGGTGGGATGACCACATGCGGCCTATCTAACTCGGATCCGAGTCGAGTCCGACCATGATCCGTTTTCTTCGACACTATGGCCCCGATCCGAATCCGATCCAAAGAGGAAACCAAACGGATCCATACGCAAATCCGAATCTGATGCGGGTTAGTTTTATTTATTTATTCATTCATTTTGTTGATTTTAGACAATATTTGCCAAATATGGAATAAATAATGATATATATATTTGTGGAATTTTATTTTGATTTATCTGAATAATAAAAGAAAAATTCTATGAGATATATGATAAGGTATATTTTGGGTCCAGGTCATGTCACGATCAATGCCACGCCACGCAACAGCCAAGTCAGTAAGAGAAGCACTCCCACGCGTCGAGCCAGAATCCGTACCAAGGCGTTGCTTAGTACGTCCCGTCCCGATAAGCCCGGGATGATGTCGCATGGCGTCGTTCCGCGTGTCCCGGGACGGCGGTCGCACAAAGGTACTATCTCACATCTCGAGGATCGACCGTCATGCCAAACCCTCATACAACCGACCCTCGTACAGTAGTATAAAAGTCCCTGATCGGCATCTGACCCAAGGAGAGGCATAAACAAATCAACCCACCAATGACTTGCTCGTAAGAGGGGGCCAAAGTCGGCAAACACCCGACGAGGGTCATACTTGCAGGAAAGCGACCACCCTCGAGCTATGAGCATTCCGACCTTGGAGTCGTCAACCAGCGTCCCGACAACGAGCCGCTAACCGACATCCGGACCAAGAGACATTGATCCACTTCCCGGCGCTGACACCCCATCGCAAGGGCTCGACCGACCTCGACGACCAACTCAACCGACCGAAGACTCCCGACATCAACCCGTGGACCCGGTCGTGCTGACTTATCAGCCACGACCCATTAGTTCACCAACAATATACATCAAAAGAAATGGTGGAAACTTTGTGGCTACGAACGCTTGAAATAATTGACTTCAAGCCACTACATCACTCAAAGTCCAACCTTGGAAGCTTTGTCAAGCTAAAGAAGAAGAAGAAAGAGCTGCCATCTCCAAACCGTCCTTCCATGGTTGCGAGTGCAAGCTTCTTCTTCCCACGGTGGACTCCTTCATACAACATGGCATAGAGAGAAGAGTGTTTCATCCAACAAAATTATTAGATTTCATGAAAGGGAGGTTGACCTCCCTCTTTACACGCAGAGAGAGCATTTTGATTTGGATGTAAGAATTTACACGGAGATTTGAAGAGAAAAAAAAAATTAAGGGAAAAATATTTCTATTATCTCATAAATTTTTTTTTTTTGTTGTCTTTCTTGTTTCATGTTAACAATTTAATTGTTGGAAAACTAAATAGAGACACTAAATCCCAAACAATTGCCACTTTTATTTGGTTTTACCACGAATCTTGATGCATGTGTTGTGGTCACTCGCTCGATGTTTACCGTCATGTTCTCGGCTTCACCGGGCCGCAGTAGAGAGGCAGCTGCTCGACCGCGCGAGTGAGCTGCGGGTGGAGTCGCTGCCGTCGTCCTTCACCGTCCCCCTGCGAGGGCTGGTTGGTGTTGACCGCGTCGTCCGGGGCGAGTCGAGGCTGCGGCGGAAGAGCTGCCGCAAGGCGGCGATCATGGGCTCGGCGGTGTTGAGGGGCGGCCGCGCGGCGCGGAAGCTCTCGGAGAAGCTCGTGTGGCGGACGAGCGCCTCCTCCGTGGACATCCGCCGCCCCGCGCGGCCGATCTCGTCCTCCACGGCCTCGCCGCAGAGGCCGCACACCCACCGCCCGCTGAACCGCCCCCGGACCGCCTCGACGTACGCCGGCGTGCACTCCTCCGTCAGCCCGCAGCACTCGCACACCGCCGACACCACCTCCGGCCTCGCCTCGCCGCCCCACACATCGTCCGACATCACTCGAAAATCCTATCTATCTTCCACCACCGTGCAGTCCGAGACAGCCGCGAACAGAGCCAAAAACAAAAAGGAAATCACGCGACGTCTCTTCCTCCCACTGCGATCACCTCCGCTGCTAACGCCGGTGGCATTGCGAGGCCCATAAGGAAATCATCTCCGTGGCGATGGAGTCGACTGCGAGACGCGGTCTTATGCTTGGTAGGACTGGAGATGGATCCGCTGGCCAATGATTGGTAGGCACAGTGGATGCCGTCGCAATCTTGAGACTTGCGACATTGAACACAATTAAGAATCTAAGAAGATAATGAAGGTTCATTTAATTGCTCAATCAATAGAGATATGACAACTATTGATTGAGAAATCTGATTAGGTTCATTTAATGTCAAATTATCCTTGTAGATTTTGACACCAAATGCTTGCTTACTCCTAAAACACAAAATATATGAACCTTTTTTTCTTTCTTTCTTTCTTTCATTACGACTAAATATAACAGCACGTGAATAAGACAATGGGATTCTCCCAAGAGACACCCACCACCAAGGCTTTGGTGTGTGAGCAAGAGAAAGGAACGAGTGTGGTCCTCATTGGCCAATTATTGAGGGTGAATCGACTAATAAAAGAGATGTGAGTGATCTATGCAATGAGGTTGATCAAAGCTGTGGGTGCTTAGATAAATACTTACTTTATATTAGTAACACTAAAAATCACAAATGAGGTGATTAAATCAGGACATTGTAATAATAATATTTTAGTTAGATATGTAATTATTATTATATATTTCAACTCAAAGCATATGTAAATATTTATTTTTTTTCATCATGTATGATAGCTTCACTAACAAAACAAAACATGTCTTTACTTGAGCTTCGACTTTTATGACACACAACAAAAACAGGTTCATCTGCAACACGTGCCACGTCAAATCAATGGAAGCTCACATCAAAGTGGTGGGACCAGCCAATTCAAGCCTCGGTGGCACACATCGGACCGAACATGTTTGATCTCTTTCTATGGTGTCCAAGGAAAAGTCTTGTGATGGAATTGATTGATGTGGCGATGGAGCCTTATCCGCCGGAGGTGCGCTTCAATTCAGCGGAGCGGTTGTGTTGGTTGTGGCAAGGGGACAGCCACCGTCTCGTGCTCTTTTGTTTAAGCAGAAATGCTGCAACACGTTTCAGTATAAAATCCATTGGATTTTGCTGTTGGAGTTTAATTATAGATCAGTCTTTGTCTACTCACTATTTGCAACGCGATACCTATAGGTCATAAATTTTCGAAGAATCTAATGATAGGACATATTCTCGATCCCGATCACGTCACGTCACGCTCTTGCCGAGTCAGCACGAAGGCTGACTTCCCGCACTGAATCGAAGCCCGTACAGGGAAGCACCCCCTCAGTAAGTTCTGTCCCGAAAAACTTGGGACGACGTCGTATAGCGTCGACGACGATCGCACGAAAGTACCATCTCGTTACTTGGAGGATCGATCGTCACACCAAATCCACGTACGATCGATCCTCGAGCAATAGTATAAAAACCCCTGATCGAAACTTGACCAGGGGAGAGAAAAAAAGAAAGGAGAAACAAACTACTGATTCAATCTCCGAGGGCCCAAGTTAGAAGTCTCTCGACCACGGCCTGTGTGCAGAACCCGGACATGCGGCCGCCCTGGTTTTATCAATTCATCTGTAAATGTACACCTAATCTGACACAATGAAGCACTTGCTCCAACTGATAACATATGTTGCTGTCCTAAACAAAGTTCCAAACGCCGTGATATGCAAGTTCACAAAACTATGGCAAACATAAAAATTAAGTAGCTTTACCATCGAGCACAATGTCACTAAATTTAACATTTGAATCATCACAAGGAAAGATGCAAAACGCAATGCTGCGAATATAAAATAAGGAATATAAATTAGTAAAGTGGTTTCATCTTCCACAGTAGAGTTATTGTGTGCAAACACCATTTGAAATGGTTTAGATCTTTAGAACAATAATTACATTGAGAAACATGAATACGATGAACTTATCTGCTTGCTTATATTAACTCCTCCAGTAGAAACCATATCTTTGTTTCTTGGACTTCCCAATCTGAATAGATATCAAATATAGGAATGAAGAGGAGGGAAGAAGGAAGGGTTCAAATATCTAATATTTCAATCCAGAGTAACACCAGTTGATTACCACCAGGCGGCTCAGGATGTGCTCCTTCAGCAACCAGCGGCCTTGAGGAAGTTATCGAAGGGGCTTGATGCTGGAAGCTGATATAACTGGGGCTGGTAATGGTACCCGACAGCACAAAAAGATGCAGTGCTGGTAGGGGCTTGATATGTGTATGAAACAATGTTCGGCTCAAGGAAGGGATTTCCAATCTGCAAAACCAGCGAAGCTGAACTTAGTGCATGAAGGTGCAGAAACAATGTCACACATGTAGGTTGTGTCTAAATCACAGTTACAGAATGAATGATAAACCTCAAGACCATCTTAAGTTTATAAGAAAAAAACAATTGTTTATGGTTAAAATTTTAGGAAATCCACAAAAGAGAATAAAATATTGAGTTCTTTAGCAAAGTATTTCAGGGGCAAGAAAATATTCCAGAACTATTAGTCCAGACAGAGTACTTGGAATTAAATAGAATGTAAAACCCGGGAGATTTGAGGCTCTATGGAAGGCAATATATTATAAGTCAATCACATTCTCGGAGACGATATTAAAAGCTCAAGGTCAAAAGTAAATTCTTCGAATTTTTTCTGGTAGTATAGCAAAGAGGAGAAAAAAACATGAAAGCATCAAATTATAAGACGAATGAATAATGAAAATATGCACACTTAATTATATATTAAGTTATTAACATAATTCTATACCAAACCCAGTGTAAAACTTTCCATACCCATTGAGAAGTTTCTGTGCACGAGTATAGGGATATTGTCACTTCATTCTGATTTTGTGAATTGCCACTCAAAATGATGTCCGGTTTCTGTTGGGCACTCATGAAGATGGATAATTTTTGCTGCTTCCCCATCAGAAGAGCTTCACAGTTGCCAGCCATTTCTCCAAATGGTATATTACAGTTGTTTGACACCGATAATCTTCCAACTTGCCATGCTGTCTCCAGAACCTGCACCATTATATATTTTTTCAAATGTTAACTATAATAGAAAAGTTATCGAAGGTTCATGCATGGAAAAATATGTACAGTGCTTGGTGTCATTGCTTAAAAATTAAAATAAACTGAACACATACAAGGGTTTAAAGCTTGTCAAATTTGTTGGAAGAATAAGGGTAATAATTTTCTTCCATGTCCAGTAATGGTGGATTATAAATATATGATATATGCTATCACATGAATTAACTGATGTCCCTAAATCCTTATTTTGTTCTGAACTCCATATATAGGCTCTGCTTCAGTAATCTTATTGTTTCAGCAAAACAAATCAACCAAAAAATCTTTCGAAAATAATTGAAGCTAATGACAAAAGCTAACAACAAAAAAATTTTGCTGTGTCAAACAAGATATAGCAGAAACACATGTTACTCGTGTTGCCAAGGTGCCCCACAGAATTTGGATGATAAGAATAAATTGCTTGTACATAGAGTCATAGCAAGAAAAAATGATTCTCTTTAATGAGAATGAGCATATGATTTCATTGAAAAATAGTAAAGTGAGCATTTGAAAGGCACCCGGATTTACAATGTCTTTTAAAGAAAAGCGATTGCTAGAAGTCAGCTAGAATAACAGATTATCAACAGCTACTATGAACTTGTCAACCCTGGTTCAATTGAAGTTTTGACAATAAAGAACGTTATGCCATAAATTTAGTGAATACAGTATCACTGACTTATGAAACAGAATAGGACAAAGATTGTCATCATCAGTCATGGTTGTGTAACATGCTATTCTTAGAACGTCATATATTTGTATCAACAAGACAACATTGTCTCATCAGAAGGCAAATACGACAATGTTATCACAGAAAATACAGGAAAATTAAATGCTTTGACAGCCTAAGGCAATTTGGTAAGAAGGTTTAGGATGAGGTGCCACCCAAACAAACAATGACTGCTGCAGACCAACAAGTAGCATTATATGCAAGTTGAGGAACTGCCAATTATTAATCAATATCATTGTTAGTTTAAGAACAGGGCATAATCATCCAAGACTTTAAGCACACATGGGTATATTCAGTATCTTATGCAATAAAGAAAATTTGGAATAGTGGAAACAAGCCTTCCCAATATGAATCTAGCAAATTCTAGCAAATAAGCAGAAGAAACCATAGATTTTCATTATATCTGGAAATGAGTTAAGGGCAACTATGATGGTACAGTCCTGGCATGGTCTTGTCTGGAAGTCATAAAGGCAGCTTTTACAACAGATTTCATTCTTCCATACTCAACCAAAGTAAGATATATAAAGTGAAGCTAGTTGGCTTCCTATTCATGTTAGAAACTATATGCTTCATCTTCCAAACTGACCAGAAGAGAAAGTCAAACGATTGTTATTTTTAAGTCATATTTCATATTTTCTACTTGGTTACTCGAGTACCCAGTGATATATATATATATGTATATACATATATATATACATATATATATATATATACATATATATATATATATATATGTATATATATATATATATACATACATATATATATTACAAAATCATATGAATCTCCAACATATGTTAGTCCTATCCAAATCAGATGACATAATGGTGATAGATGGAGGACATAAAAAGAATAGGAAGGATTCGCCCTAGTAGATCCGAGTAAAGTTTGTTCAGAATCAGTAATACACAAAGTTTAAAAGATCACAAAGGAAGTTGTTCTACTAAATCTTCCAAAAAAGACCAGATTGATTGTCCTATAAGTTTCATCCTAGGGTCCATTTTGACAAATTCACCTAATGACCAGGTTATACTTGATGGTGAAAGGGTTGTTCAAGTATGAAGGAAATGTATCATTAGGAAGCACCGATGGACTGAATTCTGACACCAGAACATGTCATATACTATGACTCAAAGTTACTGAAGAGGGTCACGCATTGTGAACATACCGATTCTAGTATCTGATTGACACTCAGAAGGTTGTTCTTCACTGTCAACTGTGATTCAGAATCTGCGGGATTCTCAAATGATTCAGTGAAGTCATCATCTATTGCAAGAAGTGCAGGCATGACCTGAAAAAATGGAAACCGATCAACTTCAAGTATTGCATTTATCACCAAATAATCTGAAATCATCTAATTTTCCATACCTCTTGAGATTTCAAGTCTTTCTTTGAGCACAATGGGGAATTAAAACCAGGTAGTTCAATAAATTGAGCCCCTAGCGGACAAACATCATCTGGTGAAAAATCACTGAGGAGCTGTTTCTTTAGAGTAGATAACTCTGACTGCACAGACACAACGAAATCAACAACCATTATAGATGAACCTATACTACAAAGACAGTATGGTAAAGCAATCTGAAAGCTGACAGTGATTACATCTGGTAGATCTCCTAAACTATTGACAATCATGGAAACCATAGCCTCTGTTGAGACATGTCCTGCTGTTGTTATTGCTGAAAGAGACTCCAAAGAAGCATTGTCATCCTCTTTTGATCCATAGACTTTTATTTGATTATCAGCAGCAGCTTTTGAAACCTCCAATCTGCAGTCCTCGACCAAGTGGAGGAATGGATCAACCTAAAAGACATCACATATTATGAAGGTTAATATTTTCTTAGAATCAACTCAACATTAAATATCAGAATTCAAAATTGTGCAAATCATGGAATGGATGTAGCTTGCATACAGAAGTTTAAGCTACCACTAAAATAACTAAAATATACATCAAGTAAGAAATGGTGGTTGCTGATTATTCCATAAACGTCAGAAGAGTTCTACTGCAATTTAAATTATTATATGATCAACACCAAGTAAAGACCCTGACACAATCAATGTCATACTTAAAGCTGAAGCAGTAGTGTCTATAAATTGTGGGTAAACAACTTATAATGTGACAACTTGAGAAGTTCTCTGCGAAACAAATATTATTTTTGTATTGCATCAAAGAAATCATTCTTATCCTATCTGATTTCTGGTGCAATATGCAAGTAATATCAAGTATTTAAACAATGTAATTAAGGATAATCTAATGCCAGAAAGCTGATGATAAACTGCTCACCATCCTTTCTGTGAGTGATGACCTAGCTGTCGGAATAAGAGGTGCAATATTGAAAGCCTTTGAAGAAAACACAATCATTGAAGTCGCCAATGTAAAAAGAGATCGGCGGCGTGATGGTGACAGTGAACCTGCAAAGTGTGAATGCACCATCAGGTATTGTGACTTTGTGATCAATAAAGTGACAATTCGAGAAAATTGAATAGGAAGTGTAAACTTGTACTGTCAGGAAGGAATATATGCCAAGACATTTTTCAAAGGAATTGCCAACTAAACAAATTAGCACATCAATTGTAATGGCTAGTTAGCTACTCCATAAATTCTGTTAAAAAATCATGAAGGTTCATATATACCACAGGGCACAGACTTAGTTCAGTATATGGTGTCATTATACAAGAAATTGCATGTGTTACAAGCAGCTTAGATGTGAGAACCAATTCATAGATCAATAACCAAGAAAGAAAAATAAAGACATTTAAGAATAGAAAACCTGGAGCAAAAGATGGCTCCTTTGTAAATTTAGGAGCTATAGTAGTTAGTTTCCTTTTCATTAAAAAAAAAGAATTCATGACTTATACAATGACTATGCTTAAAATTTTATAAAAGGTTGCAGAACTTCAAAATTTACCTCCTCTCCTAAGCGAAACGTCTCTAATCGAAAAGGCAAGCTGAAAGCTACGGGTCAAAATCTCATGAATCGAATTCTGCATCTAAAGCATTCATAAGAAAAATAAGCACAATATATTAACACAATCTGTTATATAGACATAGAAATCCATACAGTTCTATAATTCAGACAGATTCAAAATGGCATCTAAAGCCAAAGGTTTACAACAATAAAACTTCTGAAACTGTTACTGTGCTTATTAAAGAACTAAAACAACAGAACCACCAAAAGATGTCCGCTATGGTGGAGATGGCCAAAAGACTATAAGACTATAATGGAACTGTTCCAATTATATGAAGCAGTGTAACCAAAAAGAACCTGACCTATGTACAATTTGCAATATTGTGACCAAAAAGCTATTCTAAAAATATATACACCAGTTCTATGTTAAAATTATTATTTTGTCATCCAAAATCTCATCCATATCCAGTTTTTTACTGTCAATCCACATACGCAACATAATAGTACGTACAAGATTTATCGTATATACAACTTGCAAAGCATTCCCTATAATCCTCTAAGAAACACATCAGCCACTCAACCATCCACCTCATGCATGAAGATACATACATCTCATCATAAACCATGGATGTCTAAGGAAAATAAAGGTCATCCATGGAGCAAGAATCTATCATGAGGCTTTACAAGAGAAATGATCTTTCTTATAGAAAGATGATCTTTCTATAAAAAAATGGTTACATGTCAACAGTCATTTAAGAAATCAATTGCAAGAAGTAAAGAAATTCAATGATCTTTCTTATAGAAATACCAAACAATATTCCCAAATGTTGCAGTGGTTTCTGTTTCAGTATCCGGAAGGACTAGGATCTTGCTATAACTACTGAAAGACCCATTGGTTAAATCATAATAGAATACATTAAACTTGTTTCTCTTAACCATATACAAGTATCTGTATTTATGGGGCAAATTCTGAGTTGAGAACATCAGCTCTCAGGTGGTGAACCTGGGGGGGCTGATATCACTTCTCTTTTCCCTTCCTTTGTTGTCTAGACCTTCATGCTTCTATGTAAAACCTATTGTACACATGAAAGTTGACCAATGGAATTCATATACTACAAAAATGCTAATAAATTAGTCAAATTATTTTTTCTTTGTTCTTCATCCGGTTTTAATTTGTTTTTTGCTTCCAAACTTAATAGGTAATGAAAGCTTGTTAAAAGAGAACCGGACCTAGAAAGTAATGGGAAAATATAATCGATAATTCCTTTTTTGTAGTGAGATTTAACCAAAAACAGCAAAGAAAACAATGTTCTATTATTATGGAATCACACTAAAATGGTCCTCCCCAAACCCTGCTTGGCGGGAGTCTCATGCAATAGATACGCCCTTTTTATGGAATCACGCTAGATAAAAGAAGTGGAAACTAATAACAACTACTACAACCATGATTTAATTGAAGCCTAAATGGTCTTGTCATCGATATGTATGCATATATATTTGCACAAAAACATGAACTTACATGTTCATGTTACATCCTCTCCAGCTAACATAATCATAATCCTATGATAAGAAGTTTGGCTTCGACTGATGAATATTTTACTTGCAAAATCTCACATGATATATTGAATTTAGTTACCTTATCTCGAGAAAAAATAAGTACCAAGCTGTACGTATGAGCGATAGCTTCATAATTTTCTGGTGTATTTTCAGGTGAGATTGCTTGAACCCAGATGGAAGAAAGCATAAGCATGATTTGCCGACTGCTCAATGTGAGAAAAGTTGGTTCCTGAGATCACAGAAATCATCAAATACATATAAAGAAAGATTCCTGAAGAAGTTCTAGTGATACTATATTGATAAAACTCAATATGAGTCAGTATTGAATATACCATGTCCATGCTAGAATTACTAGAAAGATTTGGGTCTGCACTGGGAATTAAAGAATTGGTTCTTATGCTATGAACTCGACTTCGAGATGATTGCAGCTTATGAAATTTTACGTCACTGTTGCCAACTGATAGCCCATCATCACTTTGAGCTCTATTCACATTGTTTTGAAGCCCAGTCTGACGGAAAGAAAACTTTTCTCGTCTTAACTTGCCAAATAGAGCAGCTGAAGATGAAAACACAGAGACAGTCCTCGAGAGCGTCCTCTGAATGTCATGTATCTTTGGTGCTTCTGCAGTAGCTGAGCAAGGTCGGGGGCATACAGAAGATGGAACTAGAACAACAGAGAAGATGCGGTGTGCCTCAATATGTGTCAAACGATCTGGGAGAACCATTGCCAGGAGCAACTGATGAAACAGGGACTCAGGAAATGTCTACAAATATGCAGGAGGTGACAGTATCATTAGAAGTCAGAAAAACACTGTATAAGATAAGAAGATATATAATTGGAGCTCACCTTGTCCTTGTATGACAAATTTGGTAATGATGCAATTATCTGAGCTGTACGATAGACTGTAGAAATAGTTGATCTTGCAACTGATGCAGTTGATGAGATGTTCTCCAACATCATGGCCATTATGTCAAACAGAGGACCTGCATCACCAACCTAAGGAATAAAAATAACAAAATGTTTTAGTTAATATTGCAGGTATGATGGTTGCTGCCAATATTATGCAGAAACAGATGTTATTGCATGTATTTACTACAAAATAATGGGAAGCATACCAATTTGAAGCATTCTTGATGCACCAGAATAAACAAAACACAGTAATAATTTTTTTTTTTGGTAAGTAACACAGTAATAAATTGTCGGATGATAAAACTAACCTTTTTAGATAACTGAGTTAGACATTCATCTATGGATTTTTGAAATCTTTTGTTCCATTTGGCCATGTCATCCCCCATTTCTGCTTTGTCAAGTGTGCTCTGCATGCTTTTACGCAAGTGCCTCACAAGATCACTTATTGCACTTATTACTGTTACTGATGTTTTAGCTTCTGAATTTTCAGCAAGGTGGGTTGTAACTTCAATGATGTTTAGCTGCATTTCTGGTTGTTTGAACACTGTCTTGTGCTCAAGATGCTTAATTAATATTGAAAACAATAGATGTGCATTTTGCCCTGGAAGAATAAAGGATCACAAAAATCAGATAAAAGAGAACTGTTTCATCACCAAATTTTTACAAAAAGAACTATTAAGCTGCTGATACAAATAACACATAGTAACATCATAACATACAAAAACAAAACATCTTCATACCATAATTTTCCATTACTACTTGCATTTCCAGGAGCACACAAAGAGCAAGCCCTTTATCAGGTGACCACATGTCATTATCATCAAAAAACCGGAACAAAGACTCTAGAACACGTCGAACTGTGGTTGCTTCTCTGGCTAACTTGGCCATGTTATGCAGGCATATCCTTGACCAGAAGTTGGAGCTCTTGGCTTCTTCACTATTCAGAGGAGAAAATAACATAAAGATGTATGCAATAAAATAAATTTTAGATGGAATCAATCATAGAATATTGCAGGGATAATGCCTTACGTAGTCAGACTTAGTTCACCTCGTGCGTCTACAATGCTTTTCCAAGAAGGAACCCTAGTGGCAACCGGAGAAGGACTTGCTTGACCTTCAGTATTACTAACTTCCTGTACCCACCCGTTTTCACTGACCTGGTCGCTCTTGTTGAGATCCTCAGATTTTTTATTCGACTTTTCATAATTCTCCAAGACTACTGAAACAACCTGCATCATTATCAAAGATAACAATTAGAGCATTCATTCATGGAGGGTGGTGTTTAAATATCATTGCCACTGAAGCAAATTGGAAATTTATAGGGGAAGGGAATCAACAGTACATGTCATGACTCATAAGGACACTTGCAATTTCTCAATGTAATTGACAACACAGTTTAAAAAATCTTTGCGGTTGAAAGACAGCTAGGAATACCTATCATTTAGGAGTCATGCAAGCTTTCTAGGCAGAACTTCCTATTACAATGACAAAGGTTCTTTTGGATGTATACTTTTTCCCTTAATATTATTTAATGCTATAATGCCATACTTATCATGATGACATGATCCTTACTAAAAATGTGACGAACTTGCCCAAAAGATTATCAAAAGGCACTCACCTGGAGGTGGATATAACTTAAATACAATCCATATCAGAACATGTATCCCCATGGAATAAATAGGTGTATCAAACTTATCTTTCTTCCCAGAGACTGTAACTATGTATGGTCAAGACTCAAGAGTAATAAAATTCAGGCTCATGGACAAAAAATTATTTGCAAAGTATTGACGAATTATCTATTCAATTTAAAGTTTTAAACTAGCATCCATATTCATGTTTTCTTAATTAAATGGATGGAATATTATCATAAAATCCTTTTCAAAAGAATCATGCATATAAATTATGGTTAAGCAGCATTTCAGCGCATTTGAAAACTTAAAGAATCAAGATAATCTTACATTATCAAATTCTGCAGAGATGTGTGAGTATTCACCCATAAACCAAATCTGTGCAGTATAACAAATGTCAGTAAGTGCATAAACAACTAGCTTAATAAAATGAACAAGTGCTCAATAAAAAGAAGAACTATATTATGGTGGAGCAAAAATGTTCTGCAAACCATAAAATTGTGCAATATAACAAAGATTGCTGTTCAAGTTATCAATATATTCATAAAATTTAGGTAAACAGGGTTGTGAGCCCATCAACAATCTAACTTTATATGCAACTTTGCACAACATGTCAGGCAAATAATTCCATGCTTTCTTATTTCACCTTAAAATTGATTTTGCATGCTATCTAGCACAACCCTGAGTTAGATAAATTTATGATCCAAGATGATGGAAGGATGTTGCTTGGCCAATATCATATTTATGACCACCTGCAATTTTTGCTTAACTATCAGCCACCAAATGGTTATGTAAACATGACAGCAGCCACAACAACGAATTCATAGCACAGAGACATGCCATTATAGTGCCTGATTTGTATACATTATGACTAGAATGGATCGACAGGATGCATATGCTAGTCTGGATTGGATTTTGTGACAAATTGCCCTTTATTGGTATGTCCCATATTCTGGCATACTTGAAACTCAAATCCATGATATAATTTATAAAGAATAAAAGGTGCTTAGGAACAAGGTTAGAATGACAGTCTGGCACCAATACCAGCTGGCAGCTACACTGGTGTGATATTGGTATGAATCAATGTACCGACACTCAGTATAGATCGATACCACTTGGACTAGAGAGAAAGAGAAGTGTAGAAGGATAAGAGGAGGAAGAAGGAAGAGGAAGACAAGCAGAGGAGGAGGAGGAGGAAGTGGTGACCATTACAAGGAAAAGGTACAAACAATGACATAGAAAGGAGGAGGCAGCTGCGAGGCAGCAAAGAGGAGGGGAGAGAGAGATCGCATGAAAGAGAGAGAAAGGATGAGAGGAGAAAGAAAAAAAAAAAACAGACATTAAAAGCTATAGAAAAAGTTAAGGATACAGACAGTAAAAAATTTTAAAAAAATGATAGATTAAAAAGTTATCAAAAAGTATTAAAAAATAATTTAGGAACCAAGCAGTAAGCTTACCATTTGATACCCGAGGTCCTAACCAATAAAATTAGGTGGTACTCGTAGTAAGGTAACCATTCCAGACAGTAGACATACTAACATAGTATGAATTGAAACCAGACAAAAACCGGTGGTTCATGTACTAGTTTATGGTTGGATTGGCATATACCAAACTCATACTGATTGGTATTTGGTACGACCAGTTTTTCAAACCCAGGTTGGATTAGATTCTGTTATGAATCAGAGATTTCATAAACCCCTGGAAAAATGTTGAAATACTTTGCATATAAAGACAATTTCAGCTGGTAGAAATCATTTTTCTTGTCCTATCCAGCAGTAATTTTATACTTCTAGGAGCATCAGATGGAATCCAAGGAAATCCACATTTTGGCTACCCTTTTTTCGTCAAATAGAATCTAAAATAACTCTATGCTACGAAAAAGACAATGCAGCAGTTGAGGTCAGTACAAGTTTACAACATTCTTGTGCCTATGATTTGCAGACATCACCTTCCATATATTGCAGTTGATGTAAAAAGGATTTTGAAGTGCTCTATGGTGATTGATGAGTTGAAATTCTATTTACAAGCATCGGGAATTCCAAACAATAATGAGAACACTATAAAGTATAAACTCAATTTGAATAATATAATTGATCCAAGAAGAACTTGGCAGAATCTTTGTCCTTTTCAAGGTCTTCATCCATCTAATTGAAGAATGGGAAAAGACTTCTCAATAAAGAAAGAAGGGACGAAAGCTTTTAACCAAGCGACAGAAATTTTTCAATGAATTGACTGATAAAAACACTCTAAGCTGCAAGGATTTAAGTTTCAGAAGCTTTCATCCATGTCAAACAGATATTTGTTCTGTCAGGTTTCTGGTATTTTAATAAGGGTAATTTAGGAATATAGGATCCTTCAAATAGTGTAGGCATCTGTTTGATCCACAGTGTTTCGCACTGTTTTCATGTCGCAGTCTTGTTTCTGATGGTTTTAGTCTTTTAGATCTCTTTTAGTTGGAAACAGCCATTTATTCCATGTTTTCAGGCCTCTTTTAAACATAACTGCCTTTTAAAGGCCCAAAGATTGAATCAGTTACATTAAATGCTCAAGTGATACTGTTTTTAGCGAGAGTCAACCCTCTAAAGATCTTAAAAGAACTGAACCAGCCTTTAAGTTTTGGACATTGTCGCCTCCATCACCTCATTGCATCATCACCACCACTTGCTTCATTGTCATCACAGCCCATGTCTCATTGCAGATTCATGATTCACAATAGAGAGAAGAAGATGAGAGAATTTAGAATTTAGACATGAGGTATTGTTTATCTTATCATATATAGGTGTTTTATACCTTTTCTTTGCCTTT